CCACACTTGTAATACTGGTTTTCATAACTAGTTTCCAACATGGCGATGGAAGGCGGTAGCAGTAGTGATGGAAGGTGGTGGTAGTGATGGAAGGCGATGGTAGTGAAAGGCAGAATTGGTTGTGGTGGAAAGTAGTGATGGTTTTTGGACTTGGAACACGAGAGTGTTTTTGAAAAGTTGGTTTTTTTAAAAAAACTACTTTTGAATGGAATGACCATTCCATAGGTTTAGTTGTGGAATAGATTTCCATTCCAATAGAATGGCCATTCCAATTTTAAATTTCATACTAAACAAAAGAATAGTTAGAATGAGCACTCTATTCAATTCCAGCGCACCAAATGCAGCACTATAAACGAAACAAAAGCTACATTTGAATAAAAAGTGATTTTCTTCAAGTTTTTCTTTTTCCTACTAACCAAACATCTAACAAATTTTAAAATTTTTTATTTTTATTTTTTTTCCTTTATAGCTAGTTTATGCTGACCAAACGAATCCATATAGAAATTTTGAAATACATAAATTGAGTATTGTTATTCTAAAATCTCTTAAAATAATAAGATCAAACTTGAAATACAAGTTGGTTTATTTTATCCAATTATAACTCTTACCTGTAATCCTCTGTGGACTCCTTGAAACGTGACAGACACTTTAAATACAAGTAGCAACCAAAACTGAACTATATAGACAGAAACTTGAAAGAGAAGTAGCAACCAAAAACAAAAATTTTCATTGAGCTGTAACGAATTATAATGCCTTTTGGACTTTTAGAAGTGAAGGAATCAAAACAGAGCCTATGGCTAAAACTCAATGTTTCTCGCGAAGATACTACTGCAACAAGGCAATTTCAACCTCCAAAATCTGGCCAACACAAACTGTTTAACTGTGGTATTTCTAAATTTTTATTCTATACTATTTAAGTATAATACTATTGATTTTACCTTTGCAATCTTATAAAATTTGATGGAATAAGTTTCTTCCAATTTAGGATTTTTGAATTAGTATGATTTTATTGATTTTACGTTCACTATTATTTATTTTATTTATTTTTCATTATGGAATTTGATGGAATATATTTCATTCATTTAGGGTTTTTGATTAAGTTAATTTTTTATTTTTTCAATTCATTCTTATATTCTATTTGAGTATGATTTTATTTTATTTTTCTTTTGAAATTTGATGGTATAGGTTTCATCCAAATTAGGATTTTTGAATTATATTGGAGTATGATGCTATTGATTTTACCTTCACTGTTATTATTTTTTATTTTTTTCTGGTGGGATTTGATGGAATAGGTTTCATCCAATTTAGGATTTTTGATTAAGTTCATTTTATAAAAAAAAATCTTTTGAATTATATTTGAGTATGATGCTATTGATTTTACCTTTACTGTTATTATTTTTTATTTTTTCTTGTGGGATTTGATGGAATAGGTTTCATCCAATTTAGGGTTTTTGATTAAGTTCATTTTATAAAAAAAATCTTTCTTTTGTGAATGATTCTATTGATTTTTACATTTTTTTTTTGTTTTTTTATTATTATTTTTTCCCTTTTAAAATTTGATGTAATTTAATTTGTCTAATTCATAATTTTTGAATTTTTTTAATATGATTCGTTTGTCGTTATTTTTATTTTATCTTAGGTGGTTACCTATCATATTCTCTTTCTAAGAGTGTGTAATTATAGAGTTCTAGTTTTAATTTTTATTATCTTTTATGTAATTAACTTCTAATACACGTTTCATCTTACTCAACAAATTAGTTGAATAAATTTAAGCAGGCGTTCCAACAAATAAATGGGGACTTGTTTGAATTGCCAAGTGATGAACTGTCGCAGCAATTGTAGCATACCAATCAAGTACTGTTGATACAAATCTAAAATGAGAAATGGTACCCAGGGTGTATATTTACAACATTACCATGAATAAATAAATATATTAACGTCATGTAAATTAGCGGGCCAGCTTTAGAGCATCTCCAATATATTCTTCAAGATTGAACTTTTTAAATTTGTCGTATTAGCATTTTGAGAGTATTGGCATTTTGACAGGAACACGTCAATATTTTAGCGAATGCATCATAATGAAAGCTCTTAAAAAAAATAATGTTTTAATAATTTTATTTTTATATTTTTAATAGAATATTTAATAATATATATATTTTTGTGTAATATGATCTCTCTATTTTTTTATGCAATAGAAAACGTTTAATTTATGTTATATTTATTTTTAAAAAATAAAAATTATTTTTCTTGGGCTAGTAGAGTCGTTAAGGCACTGTTTGTATTAGTCAAATTGTGTCTTAACGATTAGTTTACGCCATGGTTCTTAGTTACAGTTGCACGGTGTAACAGATTCAAACAAAATCAATATAAATTGGTATGAACTTGAAAAATGGTCGCATATCAGACACATGTATTAATGCAAAGCCATGTAAATTAGCGGGCCAACTTTAGAGCTCCTCCAGTATATTCTTCAAGATTGAACTCTTTAAATTTGCGGTATGAGCATTTTTAGAGTACCACGTCAACTTTTTAGATTTTTTAAATTTTGGTTATCAAATGTATCACAATGGAAGCTCTTTGAAAAAATAATGTTTTAATAATTTTTATTTTTATATTTTTAATAGAATATTTAATAATATATATATATTTTTATGTAATATAATCTCTCTATTTTTTTTTTTTTTTTATGTAATAGAAAACGTTTAATTTATGTTATATTTATTTTAAAAAAATCAAAATTATCTTTCTTGGCCCAGTAGAGTCGTTAAGGCACTGTTTGTGTTAGCCAAACTGTGCCTTAACGATTAGTTTGCGCCATGGTTCACAGCCACGATTACGAGGTGTAACGGATTCGGAAAAAATTAGTATAAACTGACCAATACGGATAATGTATTGGACTTGAAAAAGGATCGTGTATCGAACTATACGACTAACTATGGTTTCGGCAGAAAATATATATATATATATATATATTGATTTTGTACATTTTTTTGTCCAAAAAAGCAGTTTGTCAACCAAACAGTGCCTTAATGACTCTTAATTTCAGTATTATACAGGAAAAAAAAAATTCCAAAAACTAATTTTTACCTAATATTTGCCACAAACAGACCCTTAGAGTCGTTGCACAGTTCACAGTGCTTTTGGGCCAGCATGTGTAGACCCGCAATCACTGGCTGGATCACCTGATATGACGACCTATTTCAAGATTCAAAATTTGGGCCCACATTTTTGGAAGCCCATTGAAGGCCCGCCAAAATGAAGCTTGGGGTCTCGGAAATCCATTTCGGATGAGCGCAATTAACTTGCTCTTGTACAACGTCATGTTGACAATAATGAAGAATGTGGGTCATAGTTATTTAGATAATAGTATTCCCAGCTTGGTCATGATAAATGGCCCATTTGAATAATATCCTTTTTGATCAATCATGATTCTATTTGAAGGTAGGCATCCGAGTTAAGCAAGTTCAGATGATAGGATGAAAGTCACCAGCATTTCAAGCAACATCGTGCTTGGTCTATATTTAGAATCTTAACTCTCTCCTTTATTAGTTTCGTCATTCTCGTTTTCTTTTACGATCTATGGAACAATATTGTTATAAACTTCTATTTATATCTTATTGCATTTGCGTGTGAAAATTTATGACATCTCATTATAACGAAAAATTATACGTCGCAACTAACCAATGGATGCAAGTTATGCATTAGAAGTGAATATATTCTTCTAGTATATAGTTTGCATCTACTAGTTATACGTGTGATATCATGTGAACCATGTGATATGTAATTTATTGTTTTGTGATATGAAAATATTTACCCACTCTAAATTAATATATATATATATATATATATTTAAGAAAGTGTATCATCAGATAATACAAAATTATCAAATTAACCACAAATTGAATCGTTTGTTAAAACTGAATGTTAAATGTTTAAATTTTAAGTGCAAATCAAAAATTGAAAATTTCTATGATATTCTAAAAATTTCGAGTATTATGTATGAAGTGATTAGTGAATACTTTAAAACTTATACCATTTCAGGTGGCATTCTAAATCTATTTTTAATCTCTTATTGACAATCATGTTACTTTACACACTCAACTCAATAAACACTTTTTATGTAAACTATGGTGTTCTTTGATAATACAATTTATCACTTAATTCTTAAATAGTTAATATATATATATTTTTTTTCACCCTTAAATAGTTATTAACTATTTAAGCTATTATAGTTAATAATTAAGTGTATTTGATAATACAATTTGAATATCATTAAAAATAATAAGCACATTTAAATTAAGGTAAAATTTTAAGTGACATTACTAATTTTAAAACATATTTATTTTTTAATTACTACATATAATCCAAGTCACAATTTTTCTCAAAAAAATGTCGTTCTTAAGCTTTGAACGCGCTCTCACGCTTCTTAGCTTATGACTTAAAAATATACTGCTCTTACACTCTTGCTCTCAAATTCGCTTTACGTGACTTAGCTTATAACTTCAACACTTAAAATTCAACAATAAAAATGTCGCTCAATTTTATGAAGCACATATATATATATATATATATATCAACTTGCTATTTTACTGGAAGGAGAACAGAAGAGTAAACAGTTGCATGCTTTGTAATTAAATAATGTAATGATTTCTTATCTCTTCGCCGTTTTTCATCTCCAAACGCGCCCTTGCGTAAACCTCCAAACTTTCCGATCAATAGTTGGCCGGCAGCAGGAAAAAGTACTACGAAGTTCACTGGCGCACGTTAGCGGCAACCCCCTCTTTGTATTTCAAATTATGCAACCGGCTCAAACGTGACTTATTCATCCCTCCGGTAGGACCCACCGCCACCCCGACAAAACCAAAATTATAAAAAATACCCTTTTGATCCCAAAAAGTTCCTCTCACACCCATACCCGAGGTCGCTTTTCCAATTGAGTTATATTATAGGGACTCGTGTTTAAAAATCAAACAGAACTTTTCAAGAAAATTAAAACTAAAAACAAACCAGAAACACACACAGACGGAAATGGAAGAAGTAAATTGTATCTATACAGAAAGAGAAACAAAAGAGAAAATCTAGAGCTAGAAAGGAAGGTAGCGAGAGAGAGTGATGACAATGGACAGGGAGAAGGAGAGGGAATTAGAGCTCGAAAGTGCAATGTACACCAACTGCTTGTTATTAGGGCTTGATCCGTCGATCATCGGAATCGGAGCCAACAGCGGTGCTCCTCGGGTTGGACTTTTTCGTCACTCAAACCCTAAATTAGGCGAACAGCTTCTATACTTCATCTTATCTTCTCTAAGAGGCCCAATTCAATCCGCAAAAGTACTCTCCCTCTCTCTCTCTCTCTAAATGTGTAGTATGCACATGTATTTATATTTCGATTAAGTCTCGCCATCTTTGGATCTGTTCTTTTTCGTTCTCTAACATTGGGATATTTCAGGATTTCGATAAGGTTTGGCCAATTTTTGATTCTGCGCAATCACGCGACTTTCGGAAGGTAATTTTATGCAATTTCCATTAATTCGTGAATACTGTTCTGAGATTTTCTGCAGATTCATTGCTGTTTCTGTTGATTGATTTAATTTATAGTTTTTTCTTAATTAGGTTGTGCAAAGTATTATAAGTGAGCTCGAATCGCAAGGGACTTTACCGAGGAGCAATGCTAGGGTTTCGTCCCTTGCTACATGTTGCGGACCAAGGTTGGTTGGTGAAACAGTTCATATTAATGCTTGAATTAGTTCAAAATTACTCTTAGTGTTATTGTTTCTCCTTAGTCGTTGCAACTTGCCACCATTTTTTGAGCCTTTATTTGATACATTATGAGTTGTTGCCTATCATGTTGACATGATTTGAGTTTTGTTACTGTAATCAGCACTAAGACTTGTTTTGTGGATTTATGTTGGTGATTTGATTAATTTTAAATTGAGGTATATAGGAGTAAAATGCATGAGGCATCTTATGAATGAAGCTAATTTAATATTTTGAACAAGCTAGTGTTGGTTCTCTTGACATTTCAAATAATTCGAAAAGGGCAGAATGAATGATACAATCCTCCTGTCAAGTTGAATACTAGATATTAGCGAAAATGATGTTTTGTGCCATGCGTTTCCTTATACTGTGTAGTTCCGCTAACATAAAAAATACTTCCAGTTAGCATAATGCATGCCGATTTAGTTCATTTTACATTTTCCATACATTAATTGTTAACTACACCATTAGCCATTAAGACAAGACAGAATACTAGATTGATGAAAAAATAAAACTTAGAATTTAGAGACTGGTGGATTGAAGTTCTTATAGGTGATTTAGGATGGCTTTATAAAACTTAGAATTGTGCTACCTATTATTAGTTTTGTGGTAAGCAAAAGGTTATGTAAACTATGGATTTGGGTCGAAAACTTGAAATGGTACAGAGAAGTTTTTAGGCTTTACAGAGGAACAAGATTGGAAATTCAGGAATTTTCGGATGACAAGGATTTTGGGTTTGGAGCACAAACTTAACTGACAAAATATAAGGTAAAGGCTCGGAGACGACTGGGGTTAGCAGGCTACAGTTTTGGGAATGAAATATGGGTTGTTTTGTTTATTTTAAATCTTTTAAAGAGCAGGAAATTGAAGTAAGAAGAAGAAAAGAGAAGTATTTTGGAAATCTCACTTAACATTCCTTACGATTGCCTCCTAAAGTCAGGTTGCATACTTGCATCACAAACTGTACAAACTCGAATTCCCAACACTCAGCACTATTCTTTAAATTAAGTGGATAATACATAGTCCATATTCCATATTTATAGTTGCTAGACTCATATAAGGATTAGACTACATAGGGAATTTTAAAGTTTCAAATAAATTAAGCCTAAAATAAACACATATAAAGACCTATTAGCATAACTTGATCCCTAATAAGACTTGAATTACCACTTTAGCCCATGTCCAGCAATATAGAAATTATTAGATGCTTCCAGTGGCGAGGCCAAATATTTACTTAAGTGCGGGCGAATTTGAACAATAATAAAATAATATTTTTCTTTTTGTACCAAAAGGATTAATAATAAAACTTATATTTTGGCCCATAATATTTCCATTCAATAAAATTGTACACGGAAAGTTTTAATGATTTAAAAGTATCGCAAGGTAATATCGTAATCAATGCCATTAAATCGAGCAATTATTGACGATAAGTCGTTAACAAAATTCAATTACTTTTTTTGTTTTCCCCCTTTTCCCCCCAAAATGAAATTTTTATTTGAAACAACAATATTGGGTGAAAAGAGAGAACTTGGGTCTTGCATACCGACTTAAGGTCAAGAGATTGACTGTTAAAAAGACTTCTATATTTGTTCAACTTCATGCTTTTGCCTTAGAGAGAGATTGAGAGAGTAAAAGGGTGATAAATGATTAAAATAGAAAAAAAATGAACTTGGTGTTGGTCATGAGTTTTAGGAAAGAAAAAATAAAGACTAAGAAGAGATTGAGAATCCTCAAGAGTAAACTCTTATTTTATTTTTATTTTTAGAGGGGGCATGTTTAAATACAGATTAATTAAGATTTTGAATTTAACCCAAAACTTGATTGCACAAGGTCCAAAAGCCTTTAAGTTTCTGATTTAGTCTTTTTATTGTCTTCATCCTCTCCATCGATCAATATTCCTCAGAAATGATCACTCTACTTGAAATAAAAATGATTTGCAAATTCGATTCAATAGGATTAAATTAAATGGCTGAACTAAGTGTAGGGACTAGAGAGAAAAATGAACTGCTATGTTGGACTTTGAATATAGAGAAAGGCAGTACTGTTATCTATCTAAGAGTTTGTAAATTTTGCCTCAAGTGATATGATTTACCGAATCAAAGAAGTTTCTTCCCGATTCCATCTCTTCTTCCATCCTAGAAGAATCATAGCCATCTAGTATTCAGGTACTCAAAACTTGGGAAGGCGCAAGTCACAAGTGAGATGGGCGAAACTATCTCTATGTAGAGCCCAATCAGGCGGGCATAATAATGGGTGGCCATCTCTCAACTGAGAACATAATAATAGTAGCCCTACAGGCCTACAGTCAGGGAAAATGCTGAGTATGAGAACAATGGTTGGCAAAATTGTATCGAACTAATACGGGGAACTAATAATTGTGTTCTGGTTTTCTACATTGTAGAATAGACTTGGAGAATGATGAAGAAGGGTAGACTATTCAAGATCTAGAGTTGAAAAATGACTGCGGCTTCTAATCAAATAGGGCTGCAAGGTTCTAATGTGTACAGTAAGAAAAGGGACTACATGGTGCAAAGATACCTATGGAAGCATTATTACCAGGGAGTTAATGATGTTATATCGCAAAAAATGTATTCATAGAAACCCTACTAGTAATCTTCCCAAAATTTGATCTTGGAACCCGAGCCTGCATCATTTATCACCTGCACAGTCTAAGGGTTAGTATGTTCAATTACTGTATATATGGCCTTTTCTGTCCTCAAGGAGGAAGTTTTATTGGTCACCAAGGATTATTATAATTTCTTTCCTCAAATTTTATTTTTTATTTTTCTTATGTTTGAAGTTAATCCACAAACTTTCGCTCTGGTTGCCAGTACATTTATAAGGCTTTATATTTATTTCTAACCTGGTTGTTGTGCTTAGGATACAGTATTCTATTTCATAAGAATGGGTTTAAGCATGTACCAGAATAGCGACGGAAAGGGAACTGCTCATACATAAGCCATAAGATCTTCACCATATTCATAGAATTCCTGGTCACTTCACAGTTTTGTCATTAGATCAATTGCTGTTTTCATTTACAATCATATTTTGCAGCTGGCATGCAAACACACACAAAATGTAGTCGCAGTTTTGTTTTTGTCTATTTTATGCATATATATGTATATATATATTTTTGGTTGAAATAGATTTCTGATAAGTAGTTTTCATTGAAATACTTCTGGATTGCAACTTTAAATTTTTCTCAGCATTCACATGAGGGTCATTGTGAACATAATTGAACTCGGTAATAAGCTTCATATCTTAACTGCAGATTTGTTGAACTTTTGTGGCAACTTTCTTTGCATGCTTTGCGAGAGGTTCATAGACGAACTTTTGCAGCTGATGTAGCTTCTAACCCGCTGCCTGCTTCATTGACAGATGTAGCTTTCTCGCATGCGGCTGCCCTACTTCCTATAACAAAGGTAATTCTGATTTTGTTATTATTATTATTATTATTATTTGATCTCTTTCATCTATGTAACAAGGATAGGAATGTGCTTCCATTTTAGTTATTGATAAGAGTTGTCTTACCACACAATGACATTTAAATAAACTGAATTTAATAAACTCATGGTAGGTCAGGTAGAGTTAGTTTTTGAACTGATAGGAGGTGTTTACCATGTGTTATATAAAGGTAACACTGTGAGTGTTCTTTTAGTATCCTTGTCAGTTAGGTTTTACCATTTAATGAACTATTTTGAAACAGTCTCTTGTTCTGTTTCTGTTGATCTCTAACCTAAGGGGTGTCTTGATAAACATGAGGGAAAAAAAATAGAGGGATATCATTAGTTATGAGAGGGAAGAAAGGAAAGGAGAGGATAGTGTTAACATCTCTAGGTGTTTGGATAACATAGGAAGGAAAGAAGGAAAGGATAATAGAAACACTTCATTGTGTTTGGGAAAGATACTGGAGAGAAAAGAAAGGAAATGATTGTTATATTTTTTGTGAGTGGTAGGAGTAAAATAGGAATTCACTTGTTATAAAAAAGGGGACAAACTTATCAAAAAAAGAAAAAAGAAAAAAAAGGGACAAAACGAGTGATCACCAACTCTCCCATCCTTTTCCCCCACTTCCATTCATTTCTGCAAGGATAGGAAATAACTGTTTAAGGGGATAATCTATAATTTCTTTTCCCTCAGTTTTAAATTACACGTTACTTAAGCTATCCCTCCTCTTCCTTTCCTTTCCTTTTATTTTCTTTTCTTTTCTCAAAACGAGTGGTCACTAACTCTCCCATCCTTTTCTCCCACTTCCATTCATTTTTGCAAGTATAGAAAATAACTGTTTAACGGTATAAGCTATAATTTCTTTTCGCTCAGTTTTAAATTAAACGGATTGAAGCTATCCCTCCTTTTCCTTTTCTTTTATTTTCTTCCAATTCCTTCCATCCAAAGGCATTGTAAGTGTTCGAGTAAGATGATCAACAAGTGATTATAGTGGTTTCCCCCACACCTGTTCTATGTGTCTATCTAATTTTACTTCTAGAGAGCATGAACTGTTTGCATGTTTAGGCATTTAGCCTGCTAACCACTAGTCACTATGTATGAAGTGAATTGCATTGTTGATTAAATATTGTTTTAAAGTAAAGATTTGATTTACCTAGGCAACTCTTGCAATTGGAAAAAAATTGTTCATAAATATTGGTTTTCGCTTCTGCCTCTAAAGTCTGCATGTCACTCTATGCTGTCCCAGTGAATTGTTCCAGATAAAAATTTTAAATTTGTCTTCTATCGCATGACACTAATATATTTGTTTGCTGTAATGCTTGTATCTTCCCTTTTAGCACGTGTTTAAAGGACAATTTACTCAACTTTCAGTAGCTCTGAGTCTCTGACTTAGGCCTTCTATGATAAACAGGCTAGAATAGCACTCGAACGAAGGAGGTTTTTGAAAAATGCAGAGACAGCAGTCCATAGACAGGCTATGTGGTCAAATTTGGCTCATGAAATGACTGCAGAATTCCGTGGTCTTTGCGCGGAAGAGGTAGAGGGGTAACTTAATCGCATTAGTTTGAGGGAATTATGTTGAGCTGATATCTTTGTTTATGGTGGGACTTCAATTTTTCTTATTGTTGCATTTGGAACTCCTGGAATTCAGGCTTATTTGCAGCAAGAGTTGGAAAAACTGCATGACTTGAGGAACAAGGTGAAATTGGAAGGGGAACTGTGGGACGAACTTGTATCTAGCTCAAGTCAGAACTCTCATTTAGTTCAAAGAGCAACTCGCTTGTGGGACTCTTTGTTAGCTCGTAAGAGTAAGTACAAACATGTTCTCATTCTTTCCAAATTTTCAATTGTAACTTTTGAGGACCGTTGCCTGATTTAGTGGTTATACGCTTGAGCACCAGTGCTACTGGTGTGAGTTCGAGCCTCAGAGCAGCCACTTTGTGTGATATTAAAGGTTAGGTCTATCTCGAGTCCTCCCTTCCCGGAACCTGCCATGGCGGGACCAAAACTGGGTAGTGTCTCTTTTTATTTTACTGACTACTAATGCCCTCCTCGCACACCCTGCATAGGTAGGCTTACCGCACAATGGTCTTTTATGATTTTAATGACCTTCATTCATTAACTGGTCAATCTGAATTTCTTAAGAAGCACCACCAATTTTTTTTTTTTGATAAATAGAGAAGCACCACCAACTTTGAACTGACGGATTTATGTGTGTCAAAATTATCTGCTGTTAGTGATAGAGTTTCCTTATTCATAATAAAGGCAAAGATGATGATGAGTGTCCCCCAAGATCCTCCACCCACCCCGCTAATGTTTGAAACTATCCAAGCCACCGTTCTTCAAGTGTGGGAGGCAGAGAGTTGATTAATTAATGGAGTTACAGCTGTTATATTTTCTCATTGGCTTTCATCAAGAAATCTGTTGCTATTGTATGACATGTGTGCATAAAGATTAAAAGTCCACCTCATCTTATTTTTCAATTGAAAATGCATATGTGCCTCAAGCGCCCCGGGGGGGGGGGGGGGAGGGGATTCATATGAAGGAAGAAGCTATGGGCCTACCAATAGTTCATCAAGTACTTTTTATTATAAGCTTAGATGGGATCCAGACCACTTCATGGAATCTGGTTAGTTAATAATGCCAGAGGGACAATTGTCCCATTCCCTCCCGCATTCTCCCCCGTCTCTCTTTCTTTCTACACACACAAAAAAAAAAAAAAAAAAAAAAATGCACGCATACTTATTATAAAAGTCAAGTTTGAGATCCAGTAACACAGCTACTGTGGAGTATAACAGCCTTTATGTTATGGTATTGATAGTTCTTGAACCCATTATGGAATGATTAATGGTCCTGTCAAATTTTATGATCGTATAAATTTATCAGAGCTCAAACACTTGAATATAAAATCCAGTTTCTTTCCCTTTTTTTTTTTGTTTTGTTTTTTGGGTTTAAATTTATTGTAATTGTGATTTGTTGATAATGTTGAATGCAGAAAGGATAGTGAATGTCTATATGTGCATTTGTCATGTGGCTTTACTTTGTGGATATAGAGGAATCAATTTCAGTTCAACTATGGGTTAAAGCATTTGAGTGGAGTAATCAAGTGTGAATGAACTTCAATAGGTTGAGGGTTTTATGAGTTTAATTCTTGCCATTGGTTATTAGTAAATAAGAAGCAGAGTATAAATTCTGACAAAAGGCATAATACCCTTTGCACTTTTTTATAAAAGGTGTTGAGGTGGGTCAGTTTATGTATGTGCCAGGGCAGAGTGTCTAACATGCCACTATTATATAGAGTGGTATCAGGGTATGGCATAGTTGCATACTATGTATCATAGCTTAAACTAGGGGGGGAAAATGTATCATAGCTTGGGTATCATCCATTACTCGTGGTTGCAAAATACAATTTTTTACGCCTACTGTGGTTGAGGCTTGATCTTGTGCCTCTGTGTATGACGTTGAGCAAACCTTTTTACGGCTAGGACCTGATATTTTTGATTTTGAGGCCAAATGTCTGAGACAATTATAAATGACCAGAAACTTGAGCATCGGTCATTTTATCTCACTATTTTCCAAGTAGATCATGTAAATTAGGTATGTTAAATTGTTTAAAAGTTGTGTGCATCAGGCTAAAAGATGTTTCAGATGTCATTACAGCTCTGTAGTTTGACTTTCAATATGGAGAGTTTGCTTAAAGGTTTTTGATTGCAACTGGTGATTGATTTAGCAGTCAGACTAGAGCTTTTAAAAGTGTTTTCTTGTTGGTCCTATACATTTGAAACATTGTTCGCTTTGGTGTGACTAACGTGACACCTTATTTCTGAGAAATAAACATGACCTTATTAATTTTTTGTTCATGAGATTAGTTCCGTAACTGTTTGTCACTTTCCAGTCATGGTATGGAATCAACTGCACAGTTTTTCTGTCATGCCCTGATTGATTCTGCCAAATTTGTTTGAGAACCTTCAGAAAATAACTCATTGTGGACAATTACTTATTTTGCCCAACATGTGAAGTTCCTGTTGTTGCTTCCTTTTCTGGGAAGGTAGATTCCATGGGAAATATATTTTGGTGAAATAATTTTTTCTAACTGCGTAGACCATAGCTACTCAACCATATGGATGTATATGAATGCTGGGATTGCTGGATTTGTCTGAACGGTTTTTCTTTTTGTTGCTGGGCCAGACATGTGCAGGAATATATGTATTTCCTTACAATCTTTTGAAAACTTGGTGCCCCTTGATAAATTAAAATCTTTTGGAGAGGTAAAATTTCTCTTGATGAGAATATATATGTATATCATTTTTAATTTTTATATAGTTCCGAGGATGATTCCTAGTGCAAAAATTGCTGGTTGAGCAAAAGACAAAAATAAAACTTGGTAGACATGACATCTTTATTTTTTGTACCTATTTCTACCTTAAGAAGGATCTTCCATGATACCAAAAATGCGTTTCTTTGTTGAATTGTGTGTATTAATGCTTTCCTTACTCATCTTGAGGTAGTCAATTTTATCAAAACTTCTCATAGTGGTACAGCAATCTATCAATTGCTACTTTCGCACAAAAGCACTCGTGTTTTCAAATTTTCTGACAATCCCAGAATGGACACATATTTTGTTGTTTACCAAAATAACCGTTGAAATATCTTTATTATTATTATTTTTATTTTTATTAGCTGTTTTTAGCCTTTTATTAGGTGTTTTATGAAAGATCCTTATAATCATGGGACCACGTAGATAATATCCCCGTAATCATGGCATCCCGTAGATAAGGTCCCCATAGTCATAGGATCACGTAGACTTTGGCATATTTTCTATTTTTTTTTGATTTGGTTTCCTTTCTTTGTACCCTATTCTTGTATATAAATATAGCTCTTGGCTCTCGGTTTGAGTAAGTCAAAACCCCAAACTTCTTCTTTTTGGTATCAGAGTAAAACAAAAACTTTCGCCTCCCCATCTTCCTCCCCACCACCGCCACCTTCTCTCTCCTCTCTCCATTTTTCCTCACCTCCGGCGCACATCTATCTCCTCCCAGCCCTTGCGCCAAACCCCTCGGGTAACCCTCAGCTTTGGACTCATTTTTTAGGAGAATTCCCTTAGTTTTTTTTTAATGATCTAAGGCTCCTTCTAGTGTTTTTTTTTCTTTGTGGGCTGCCGATGTTTGTTCGGCAACATATATGGAGGAACGCGCTGATTTTTCCGGCCTTGTTTTTCTTTTTCCTCCCTCTTTAACGTGCGGACCAGCCTTATTTTGGTACTATGAGTGATTCTAGTAGCCAAAAGGACACTTTATCTTCGGGCCGTGGCCGCCTTGCCGCAGTAGCCGATACTTTAGGTGGGTATACTACTTCACAGATTATTGTCCCTCCTGCTTCAACTCCTCCCAGACCATATTTTAGGACTTCAATTAGTTACAGTCCCGGATTGGTCAATTTCAGGAGCAATTCTGAGCTTTGTCTACCAGGACCGGCTCTTCTACTCCCACAGCTACTATAGCTACAGGTACTCCTTCTGCTTTTCATGTTAAAGCGGAAAAACCTTCTTGGGTTTTGGATTCTGGAGCCAATGATCACATGACTGGTGAATTGTCATTATTTTATACTCCCGTTACCCCTGTTAATTAGGCTGTTAGTCTAGCTGATGGGTTAACCACCATTATTTGTAGTAAAGGAGATGTTCTTCTATCCCCTGATATTATTTTGCCATCTTTTCTTCATGTTCCTAACTTTGCATTTAATCTTCTATCTGTTAGCAAACTTGCCAAATCACTAAACTGTGCAATGATTTTCTTTCCTCATTACTGTGTTTTAAAGGACTTGTGTTCGAAGAGGATTTTTGACAGGGGATATGAGTACGATGGCCTCTATTACTTTAGGGATCCTTCACCAACTCCTCCTCCACTTGCTTCAAGCCTCTATTCTTCCAGTTTCCAGGTCTTATGATTTTTCTTTTCAGCCTTTAAGTTTATGGCATGCTCGCCTTGGGTATGTCAACTTTCAGTATTTATGTTTGCTTTTCCCTTCATTAATAATGGCTTGTAAGGATAATAAGTTTCAATGTGAGATTTGTGAGCTTTCTGAACATACTAGAACCAGTTATATTTTTCATATGCATCGTGCACCTAGTATGTTTGATCTCATACATTTTGATGTGTGGGGTCCTTCTCCTGTTACTTTTTTTTCGGGGCATCGTTATTATGTCACATTCATTGCTGATTATTCCCGCTGCACATGGGTATATTTACTTGAAAAGAAATCTGAAGTTTTTCCCTTGTTCACTCAATTCCTCCAAATGATCAAAATTCAATATAAAACTATTGTTAGGAATATTAGGTCTGATAATGGTCGTTATGTTTCTAAAGAGTTTCGTTCTCAACTTAACCAAGAAGGTTTACTTCATCAGCTTACTTGCCCATATACCCCTTGTTCAGATAAGAGAGAGAGAGAGAGAGAGAGAGAGAGAGAGAGATCATGGTGGCTATAGAATTGTGTATTTCATATGATAAACCCTAAGCCTACAGTGGCTTTTATAAAGATACAAGACTCAGCTAATTACACAATGACCCTACCAACTATATGTAATTACATAATGACCCAAAACATTCTAACACTCCCCTTCAAGCTGGAGAGTATATATTAAATAATCCCAGCTTGGAACAGATAGTCCTTAACCGATTATGACCCAATGCTTTGGTAAATATATTAGCTAATTGATCTTCAGACTACACAAATGGAGTAGAGATGCTCCCATTTAATATTTTTTCTCGAATGAAGTGACAATCAACTTCAATATGTTTTGTCCTCT